AAAGGATTCAGAACTTAATAACTGTGCCTGATCTTGCCTTCCACAAACACCTCCTGAACTTCTTTTAAAAGTGGGTCCCTCATGGCAAAGTCCTCTGCTAGCTCTGGGGGGCCTTATTAGCTTCTCACATTGCCCTAGCTCTTGGTATCTGCTGTAGTCACTTGCAGTGTACTTAAGGTGGTTGTCAGTGTCCTCCTTTAGACACTCCAGGCGTCCACTTGGCTTCCTCCCAAGTAGCTGCCTAGTGAACCCAGAGGATTTTATGAAGGCAGCTTGCTACCTTGCTCGCTCCCTGCTCCCCCCTTGATGATTTTTAGTGCGAGGTTAGAAAGCTTTCCAGAGAAATTGGCAGAGTTCAGCCACAGGTGCATGTTGTTCTTCTTTTACCTCCTAAGACATTTTTACAGGGTTTTCAGTTCTTCTCTGATGCTGCGGCTTTTCTCGGCTCTCTGGTTCTTGGCATATGGCTCTTTTGTATTTGGCTGCTCATTCTTTCACGCCAACCCTCTGGTCCACTATTGCTACTACTGTATGATGGTGGTCATAGTGCATAGCCTACTCTCCACATTTCCCTTGGCCATTCCTTGCAACACCCATTTTTTCTGCAAAAGCACTCACTGGTTGTTATACATGGTAATTCCTGGTCAACAGAACTAGGCTAGCTGTTTCTTGTATTTATGTTATGCTAAGCTAACTGGGTGCTGTCTGTAACCTTATAGTTACTATATATACAACAAAATTGTGTGAATCACTTGTTTATTTAGTTTATTTTCCAAAATGTAAAATTATTCCTTTAGGGTAGACTTGGAAAAAATCTGAACATATCCTTTTAACAGTTTTAAAAGATAGAGTGCAGTTTAGTACACCTGTTAGGTAGTTACACTGTGGAAACTTGGAGGTGACCTCTTTAATCTTGCCTGCAGATGAAGTGATAAAGTATCAGGGCAGAAAGCAGGCTTTAAGAAGTCATGAGGTAGGAGATTGATGTTGCCTCGGTGACAACTTGGTTTTAGACGAGAGGGAGAGAGAGAGATGGTGAGAGAGACAGAGAAAAACCAGACATTTGGAGCAGGTCTAAAGTAAGACCCCTTCACTATGGCTGCCACTGCTGCTGGCTGAAATCAATTCTATCTTTATCAGTCCCCCTCTTCTGTGTCCAGGAATGCTCCTCACACTGCAGAGCAGCCGCAGGGAAACTGATGTGTTTTCCAATAATGAAATGGAACACAGCAAAAAATAAGTTTAAAAGGTGCCTGGCTGGTCTCCATCAGCGGTACAGCACTGTTTTAATCTTTAGTCTAGTGTTTAAACACATTTGTGGCCCTGCCTATGCCAGCCAAAAGAAATTGAATTTATAACTTTGTTTGGGTGCATGTGTAAGTGTAGATTCAGGTGTGTATGAGGGGCTTTGCATGTAGGTATTAACGTCTGTGAATTTGTGATTTTTGCTACACCCCTACTGCAGGGCTCTTCAGTAGGGGTGATTCATTTTGGTACTGAATAGCAAAACAAATTACTGTAAGAAACATTAGTTTTTATACTAAATGTATTTAATGTTGTATATATTATGAAGGATCTATGCGATTAAAGTTGTTTGTGAAAATATCCAAGGTTTAGGATATGGCAGCTCATACATCTGCTAAGTTGGAAGTACTGTAACCACATAGTCATTTTGAAACAGCTGCTTATTACCATTCCAATGGCTGGCCGTGTGAGCGAGTTTCACTTCAGGCCAGAGGCAGACAGGCCTGCTGCTGCCGTACGATGATCCATCTGCATGGCAGGAACCATCCATCCAATGGATAGCTACAGGCTGCGGGCCGGCCCATTGTGTGGGCTGAGCACTGTGACTGCTCCCTCTTGTACCTCCGTAATGGGATTACATTAGGCAGGTTCTTTCGCTCCCTCTCCAGCTTTCAATTTTTTTCTTTCATAGACACACACACACACACACACACACACTCAACTTACACACTCTGGAAGCCCGTGTGTGAATGACTGACTGGCTGCTCAGACACCTCATGGATGCACCCTTTTTACTTGCCAGTGGCCCTGTGATTTGATACAGATTTCATGCCCATTTCACTGACACTTGTTTTGGAAGCAACATATTTGTAATGATATGTGATTTCCATTTTCCTTTAAAGGTGTTTCACTTTTTGTTGTTTTTTTATGCTGGCATGCTGGCGATAGCTGCAGTTATGTTTTTGGGGTTGTCTCTCCGCTTGTCCATCTGAATTTTTTCAAATTTGAGATTAGTGTCCACTTGGTCTCAAGAATGAACTGATTAGATTTTGGTGGTCAAAGGTCAAGATCAAGTGACCTCATGTCTGTCCCATTCCCATGAATTTGACTGGTTGGCAGAGGCATACTGTACAACTGCGAAGCAGTAATTCCAGTTGCTATTTGTTTGTGTGTGAGAGAGTTAGAGAAAAAGAGAAAGAGGGAAAGGAGCAATCAGAGAAAGGCAGACAAAAATAGAGGGAGACAGAGGGTTTTGTTCAGTGTTTTCCTCTAGGAGAAGCTGTCATGTGTAAAATCTTGTTCAGAACCAGCTATTGTGTTTTGTTGGGCTGCACCACTAGGGCTAAGCTGTTCATTGAAAACCAATTTGTTAATGTCTAAATGCTGCACTAGTTTTCCCTCAAGGACAAAGATTGATATTCAACATAACTTGCCAAGACACCACTGAAGAAAAATATGGAGAGCAATGATCCTCAAGAGGAATTATGCAAGAAATCTCAAGGATTAGAAATAGTGTCTTTTTGCCTCTTTCTAATCTTGTCTCAGTCTATAGTTCATTAGTTTCACTTAGAGCCTGTCTGTTCCATGAAAAATCTTAAATAATTCTTGGCAAATTGTATAACTTGAATCACTTTTCAACATCATACAAAGTAGAAAAAACACTAACTTATCTTTCTTTTATCTATTTTATTTTTGATGCTTCCACAGGGCATTTCAGAAAAATCAGTCAGCCATTTATTTTAGTTAAACAGTAAATGATATGGGATTGATTAAAAGGGTCAAGCTACCAGCCTACCAAAGCACTGAATCTGGAGCCAGCCACCATAAAATTAAAACGGGCATCAATGGCGTGTCATAGGTCTGCTGCTCTGCAGGCTGAACATGTAATTCTGACCTTGAGGCTGTAGCCATCTCTCATGTCAGGCCTTCCAGCATCAGGTTCAATAACCCAGTCGCCCACGGCTGTTGTCTATTACTCTCTATTCTACAGTATTCAAAAGCAGGAGCAGACTGATATTATTTTGGTCTTTGTCCTACTGTATATCTGTTCCATATTAGTTTCCTTGGGATTTTCATCAATTAGAAATACACATTTTTGTATAGATGCTTAAAGTAAGAATCAGCTGTGCATTGTGCAGTGTGTATTCACAACGTCAGTGAGTGGAGCTATAGGCAGTGAGAGGGCTGCGACCACACAGCGAGCCTCTGTCGTCTTTGAAGCCATTTTCCTTGAAGAGTTCTGTTGAGGATGAAATCCTTTAAGGTGAGAAAGACAAACACATATCGGCTTCATTTACAGCTAATTCATTCTCTGTTGTATGAAAAGCAGCTTCTCTGCACTAGCAGCTATACCATATTTATCTTTTATTTTTGTCAGTATTGTAATGTTTTGTAAAATCTCTCCATTATAACAAATAATAGCATAATTCTTAAGCCTAAAAATAGTGGAAGCCAGTTGATTTATGTGTTTTTATATATTGTTTCTGTCAGCATTTCAAGCTATCCATTAAATTTCTTCTAGCAAGGAAAAAAATATTTTCAGTTTATTTCCAATTAACTGTATAGTGAAAGTCTATAAGGATGTTAGGGTGAGTTTTATAGTGGAGATTTGCAGATCAATCTGTTGATTTCTGATAATGGTTTAAAAACCTTTAGTCACTTTAAGTTGTAGGTAATAATGCCCGGCAAATAAATAATGAAAGTGCCCGCAGTTAGTGGTTATGCTTTCATCATTGAATAGCATTATTAAGACTGATAGGAAAGATGACCTTTGGAGGCCATTATTAACTTGGTTTTATAGGCTGCATTTTGCAGGGTCAGCTCTGTGAATTGCAGTGATGTTAGTATGAGAGATGATCGATTCAGTGACACATCTGTCAGGTGGTGCTCAGCCGTCGATCTCCTCTGTTTGTCACTTCTTGCTAGCTGTAGCTGGGTCCGATTCAACTCTCTGCCTGCCCTTGGCTTTATTTGCTTTTAGTGACTCAAGAATACATTGTCAACCAGCCAAAAGCTAGTCCATGCATACCTGCCTGCTTCATAGCTAGTCAGCCACTCTGCAAAACAAACAAGGGCTGGATGATAATGGATGATAACTTAGTATCATTGTTCATCATCTTTGTTTTTGTAGTATTTTCCTGACAAGTCCTCACCTCAAGCTAGTTTTGTTTACACTAGTTTTGGTTAAATGAGGGATGAGTTAAACTGATCAAAATACTGTATAACAAAATGTGAGATCACAAATAATTCAAAACATTTTTTGTTTGGAAATCATGTAGTTCTTTTTTGTCTCAACAGTTGGCTCAACAGGTCAACCAGGAGTTAGCATACTTTAAATTCACCTTATGAGTTTGAGTTCTTTAGTTAAGCAATTCCAAAGATAATTTTTTTTAGAGTTTCCAGATGCTCTAGAGTGACTTTGTTGTCAACACTGAAACGTGCCTGCCACATAAGAGATAACTAGCTAAAATAGTTAGGTTATGTGGTCAAGTCCACGCTTACATTGTGAATGTAAGCGCTGTGTTTTCATTGTGCCCCAAACTGACAGAAGAGTCTCTATGGGCATGATTTGACTGACACGCAGAAACATCCACACAGATATATATGCAGAAAGATACTGTCCAGGGTTTACCCCACCTCTCGCCCAATGTCAGGTGGGATAGGCTCCAGCCCCCCCGCGACCCTATTCAGGAATAAGTAGAATGGATGGATGGATGGATGGATACTGTACACATGCTTGACTCTCCCTCAGCACAGGTGTGATAAACTGGCCTCTGAGAAGTCAGAGATGCAGCGGCACTATATCATGGTATGTCTGTTGTAATTTCTTGTCAGTGCAGTGTGGCTTTTTATTAGTTGACTCCTACAATATACCAACGTACTTAGTGAAGTGTGTGTCACTCCTTCACTGTGTTAGTTTTGTTGTTAGTGTATAAACTGACTTTTAGTTGTTTTGAGTTTGCAGTATCCAGGCATTGTTAATACATATAGTACACCAGTTTGTGTGTGGGATCAAAAGGTACAGAAAATATGTATATTATGTTTTTCTCCCCTTTTGTATTTGTAGTACTACGAAATGTCCTATGGGCTGAACATTGAAATGCACAAACAGGTGATTCCTCTCTATAATGCAGTTTTTTGTCGTCCCATGTCTTGTGTTGTTCTGGTCTGACCTTGTTTCATTTGTTTTCTTGACAGGCAGAAATAGTGAAGAGACTGAATGGGATTTGTGCTCAGGTGCTGCCTTACCTGTCTCAGGAGGAAATGAACCACACATCTTCCAACACGATCTGGCTACGCTTACACAATAATTAGCACAACTTACCACCCTCCTGCTGTCCCAACAAAGTCACCCTGCCACCCGTTCGACCAGTCACCGTCCTGATCCTCCCATACCTGAACCGGACATTTTTGATGGTACTGTGGATAAATGCCGAGGGTTTTTGCTGCAGTGCCGCTGGGTGTTCGAGCACCAACCACGGACATATCGCACAGATAGAGAAAAAAAAATCAGCTATGTAATCAACCGACTCCGAGGTAAAGCGCTTTCTTGGGCCGAGGCTGCGGACTCCAGTGGCTTACTCATCGGCACCACCATCACTGAATTCCTGGACGACTTGAGGACGTTTTTTTCATCTCAGCAGAGCCAAGCGTCTAGGGAGCTTCTGACTATTCGCCAGGGGGCTTGACGAGTCCTGGATTATTCCATTGACTTCCGGGTCCTTGCTACGGTGGCCGGCTGGGAGGACCGCGCGTTACGTGCGGCCTTCTGGCACGGCCTCAACAAGAACATCAAAGCTGAACTGAACATGAAGGACGAGCCCCCTGACCTTAGCTCCCTAGTTGACTTGGCCATCCGGATTGATCGTCAACAGGGCTCTTTCCTTGCGGAAAGAGCCGGGCAGCAGTCGGCCCCCAGGCCCCGTTCTACAGCAGAACCTCCGGCCGAGGCCAGGTCTCTTCCTCGGCTGGGGGTCTCCAATACCAGCACCCGTCGCAACCCAGAGGAACCCATGGACTTGGGACGTGCCCGTCTTCACCCTGAAGAGCGGGCCCACCGTATCCGCACCGGGGCATGCCTTTACTGTGGGGCTCCGGACCATCTTACAGCTACCTGCCAGGTGCGGCCAAAAGAGCGGGCCCGCCAGTGAAAGTGGGGACACTGACGGGCCGTTCCTCCAAC